ATTCCAGCTTTTAGTTTAACGAATGATACGACGCAGACAATGAGAAAGCGTTATCTAATTAAGCCCATTTTGATTTTATTTGTGCCCACGCCTACAGGAAATTTCTCTCGATGAAGGTAAAACAAAAACCGACTGAGGCTACGTTTTTCTACAAATTTTAATTTACTCCAGTTTATCATATTTGAATGACTTTCTATTTGTTGTAATTAAATTTGTTTATGGCTATTTTATTTATGTAGGTTGCGTTGAGGGTAATTATGTAAAGTTGGATAAAAAAACTACCACACTTAAATTTGCTTGTTTTTGGTAATTACGGACATTTTGCGTAAGAATTACGCCAAGTTAAACAATGTGATATAATAACAATGTTCGCGTCACGAATATTACAATGAAAATTGTTTCGTGATGTACTTAGTCGCTTTATTTTCACGAAATCAGTTTTCTCGAGCAAATAATTAATTCGGACGGCGTATACGCAAGATTTTAATTGTGTTGATTTGAAGAATGGAAATGTTAGTGAAAACGTGCACACACTACTTTATTAGTATGCAAAAACATAAATTAATTATTATGCAGGTGGTCTTGTACTTCCTTCTCAACGTATTTCTCTCCTTCCTGTTTATTTTTCTTTTGTTTCAGCTTCTTTCTTTGCATATCCGCCGTTTAATACTCACTATCACTCTACAATTTGTAAAAAATATTAACTTATCTTCAAAAACACACCTCGGTTTCATTCAATCTTCTTCACACTCAAAACTGATCTACTTTATTTTCATCGTTGTTCCTTTTGCTTTACGATTGATGTTTTTCTTTTTACTGAAGTATATTTTTTTACTTTTTGTTATCTACAGCTTCTTATTCTTTGTAGGGGATTATTAGTGCTTCAAATATGCTATTCTCCCTATAAGTTTAATGAATTCTTAGGTGTTCCATTATCCTTAAAATGTTGTATTATCTCGATATAAAATAGACATTATTTTCATTTTTTAGTTGTGCCTACACTTTTCTTCATCGGTCTTCGTGTCCCGATTTTCCAAGTTTTCTGTTCTGGATACTCTTAGTCTGGCTCTTCAGTTGAGACCTGCCTGGCTTTAGTAGGCCTTATGGTATAATATACCAACGAATATAGTGATTTTGCGACTTTGACTGCTTTGCTACCTCTAGTAATAAATAATGTAACTTATTAGATCAAATTTATGACACTCTTTGTTCGTTTGGGAGCTTGGAAAAATCAAAATCATAAAACCACTATATTCCTTGGCACACTATATAATGCACTACTGCCAGTATAGACCCCAACCTCATCAGAGCACGCAAGCCCCTCCCCCACGACAAGGGGGTATCCGCGGAGGGGGTTATTATTATTAATATTAACTTAATTATATTATTATATAGATTATTATTCAGTTTATCTGTAGAAGGTAATACACATGTTAATTCATTTTTACTGTTAACATGATGAGAGCATTTAAATTTGAAGTGTTTTTAACTCAATTTAAAAAACTCATTGTCCGAAGCGAAACGGAAGGTTATACTCAAAGAAAAACTTGTATCAAAAAATGGTGGTAAAATTATAAGTTAATTACCAAGGTCCAGCGGATATTCGCTTAGAAGATTTTTAATTTAAATTATTTTTAACAAAATATTCTTCGTATCTTTAAATACAAACATCCTTTATGTGTCAATCGTTTGCTCCGACAAATCATAACTAATATCCCCACCATAATTTTAATGACGTCATCTCACAAAAATGAGCTAATATTCCTTGATATGTACCCTTTGAGTTAAATGATCTTTCTAAAGCGAAATTGTTTCAAAGTTACTGCAAGTTTAAATACCGACCTTCCATGGTCTAATCAACTTTAACGCGTCCATCCATCCATGCGGCACACATTTGCTGGTGCGACTACAAGTTTAGTGGTAATTGCTCCCAGCAAATTAAACGGAGCTTCAATTCATTAACAACCATAATTCAAGGAAGGCCATAATTTTATTCTCCGTCTAAATCAACCGAGTGTCTCAAAAATGTCACAGTTATAGTAGGTCAGTGTCTCAAAAATCAACAATAGAAAGCACCTAGTCAGAATGACATCACATGACTGTAATCTTTAAAGTGAATTACATGGTGGTTAGGTGTCTGTGCTCTGAGAATGGTGCAACTCAAGAGCAGAACAATAAAATTAATATCTGTCATAATTTCGTGATTCGAAAAAATTCCGAATCCCAAAAAAAGCCCAATATTTAGAAAGCAGAAAATCAAAATCGTATCTCTTTTTACCCGAATGTTTCGCATAAAAAGCGTTTATTTCCTGCTTAACACCCATCACCTGTGAAATTAATTTTTGGCAATAACCACAAAACCCCTTTTACTAGTGTCAGCAGAAATTGCACCCAACGGTTTTAATTACAACTGTTGCTTAATTACGTTAACATAATTAACGGTTTGTTCACTGATTCCACACTAATTAAATTATATAACCGGGCGCGTGCGTCATTAAATAAAAAAATGTACGTGAACAAAAAATAATAATGAATTTTAGGAAGGAATTTCTGTTGTGCGCTCCTGGGCAATGCATTTTACAGCCGACATAGCATATCAAAAATCGTTATTTAATTGAGTGTTGTGTTGCAGCATGTATTTTTCTTGTGCAACACCAAAAAATTGTTGCGGTCATTTGATTCCTTAAGTAATTGACGCCTTCACGCTTAAAATATACACGTAACTTCCGTGAAGAATAATATAAATAACAGGCACGTGGAGGCCCTTTAATTACACGTTCGAAAAACGAGAGTAATTTTTCATTCTTATGAAACGCTTCTACAAAAACATAAAAAGTTATGCAAAGGTTTTGTCTCAATCCAGCGATTATTATCAATTATTTTCCATTGTTTCTGCAGCCGCTACAATAAATTTAAATATTTAATCTTCAAGCCAATCAAGCATTCGATTTGTGGCCACAACTATTATTTTCTTCCTGTTGAGTTTTGCAATAAAGAAAGTGCAACGAAATTTTTAACAAATGTTGTCACTGCAATAATTTATGATTGTTCTGATTGTACAGGTCCATATCAACCGATTTGTGTGTACGGAAATTACACAACTTATGCATATTCATGTTAGACCTGATTTAATGCGCCTAAACTTCGTAACTCCCGATATACGATTGTTTAATGATTTTTTCAAATATTCCATCTTTTTACGTAACACACCTTGAAATGGGTTTTAATCAGGATTAAAATATGTATCGGGTTCTTACATCATGCAAAAACACTTTCTAGCTTAAATCACGCGTTCATTTTTTACAGAAATTCGCGTTCCTTGCAATATTAATTGTTGTACTATTACTAGTCTAGTACTTGAATTACAAACCGCGCTTTCACTGCACTAGACCCTAATAAAGTCGTTGTGCAAGAATCCGGTAAGACAAAAACTTGCTCTACATCAACCAATTTGCAAAAAAAATTGTTAATTAGTTGCGAAGAATTTGAATGTTTACTATCAGGAATTTGTCTTTTATTTTTGTTACACTTTTTTTGGAATTTCATTGCTCGCGCAAGCCTTGAGCTAGTTTTCTAAAATTTCTCTGACTCCTTTTATTTTTCAATTTTTTTTAGTGAAATTTGCATTTGCATCACAAAGATATAAAAAGTGCACCAATTTCTAAAAATCGCGTTTATCAAGTTAATCCTTTCACGACGACACTCGAACTTATTACCATTTGAATAAAAACAGCGTGAATTTATCAAATTTTTTGCTGATTGTAGAAAAATTAACCTCTTTGGTGGTCTCTATTCACAGGATTATTAGATCACTGTCACACATATATAATTAAATCTATTATTTATGTGACTTAATGAACAGGTTGAACTCTTACAAAACACAATAAAACTCATAGATTAGTTAACACAGATTTAATTATGAGATAACCTGTGCCTCAAACATTTAACAACTTTTTTCAGTAACATTGTTTACATTATTTATCGAGAATAATTAATCAATTTGCTACCGTAAAATAATTAATCACTTGTTAAGCACGTACTTTATGCTTTATGTCATATAATTGACATTTCAACAAAGAAATAAATTAGCATGAAAAATGTGCCATATATGAAATTGTATAGTATAGTCAGACGATTTGTTCAGGATCATGAAATAATAATCTCTGATAATAGTTTTGCTCCTAAAAATTGTAAAACTACATATATCACCCCATTTTTACCAACTAGCTCTTACTACGGAAATTTATAATTTCAAGAGCGTTGAAAGGTTACAAATACGCCTTAATTGGACACCTTGTAACTCGCAAACAGTATTTACAATTTTTATCAACTGCAATTACACATATGTAACTGTAATAGACATTTAGTGACATATAATTTTCCATATTAGATACTACAAATTTTAAGTGAAAGGAACGACTACACATACCAGATCACCGTTAATTAAACACTACAAGTGCTCCAGTTTTTGAAGCTTTTAAGCACGCTAAAACTCAATATGTGAGTGCTAAACGTTGGACCTAAATAATAAAAATCTCATTAGGAGTTTTCGTATTCTTATTTTGTGCAATATATTCAGGTATAAATAAATTATTTAGTTCATTGTAAAAGCAATAAATATTTGCCAAACAATTTATGTCATAGCGATAATATATGAGCAAAATTATTTAAACTGATATGTAAAATACCAACCACAATTTTAAACCAATGACAATAAGTTAAAAAAAAATCAAATTTATCCTTGGCCTAGGAACATTTCAACATTTTGATACAACCAATGGTACTATGTCATAAATAGTCGTTCGTACTGTAGAAACACGTTAGTGTCTTATATAAAATTCAAATGGACAATAAAATTAAACACACTTAATTATAATTAATTTGCAACAATTATCGTCACTGTTATCTCATAAACTGACCATCGCAAACCGTAATAAACCTAACACTAAAAATAACCACACTTATGTTACAAGTGAAACTAACTTTTTCCTCTTTTGTAGGAGATCAACAAACGGCGGCAACATCCTGGGATGGTCTCGATTTTACCTCAGGTTCAAACTTCTTCCGGTCAGAACATGGTGTTCTCCAAACCCACCCCTCCCTCAAATACACGGGTAACCCTGGATCCTTGGGAAAATTCCAGGACGAGCTGAAACGCAACCCTTCGTTATCGTCGCCCCACGAATGTGCCAGAGCTTGCAGAGAGGGTGAACCACCCAGAATCTGCTACTACCACTTCACCCTTGAATACTACACAGTCCTTGGAGCGTAAGTTCCAGTTGCTTAATTTAAGTCGTTAGAAACCCTAGTCATATAAGCAATTACATGAAGATACACGTGTTAGCACGGAAGTAATTGGTTTGGACGATAGATTCGATGCATAATTTATTTGGCTTCTTTTGTAATGAATACCAATCTTTCAGAGCCTGTCAAGTGTGTACACCCAATGCTACGAATGTGATGACGTCGAGTTGCCAGTGTGTTTTGGCTGATGGTGTCGAAAGGGGGATTTTGACGGCGAATAGGATGGTTCCTGGACCTAGTATTCAAGTGTGCGAGGGTGATAAGGTTGTGGTGGACGTCGATAACAGAATGGAGGGTATGGAGGTGACCATTCATTGGCACGGAGTCTGGCAACGAGGGACGCAGTATTACGATGGCGTACCGTTTGTAACGCAATGTCCGATCCAGCAAGGAAATGTCTTCAGGTAATTGTCGTTAAACTTAGCTTTTACGCGATACTAATGCTAGCTGGATACCAACACACATTAATTAATTATTGAACTTTCTGTGGAATTCCTTAAACAGCGGTGTCCTTCCATTAAACCAATTAGAAGGGGGACATCCGTTGAATTTTGCAAACGCGAAGAATCCCATTAATCCTCTAAATTATCATAATAAAGCCAAGGCGAAATATTTTGACTTATTGCATGTAAATTTATTGAAAAAAAAGCAACTATCACTGCTGCAATTTCCGTTCGAAATGTCAGCCGTACATCTTTTTTTAATAGCTCGCTAGTTAATTTTAATCCTCTGCATAAATGTCAACACTTATTTATTACAAATAACTCTATTCGAAGAAAACCTATTTTGCTACTTTTGTAGGAATCTCGGGAGAAATTAGCAAGTTTTCTTCAATTAGCCTCAAAATGTTCTCTCGTGACATGCGAACGAACAATTTTACTGTCGTGAACACATTGTGTACCTCCATTTATCATTTTTAATAAACGTAACGCAAATTACGCAGATTAAGCAATGATTGTCATAAACATTTCCCACATTTCTCATCCGTCTTGCAATCGCTGAACTTGATCCCGATTAAATTATGCGGAAGATACGCAGACTCTGTGATTTACGTAATTTGATTTCGATCATTTCCGGCAGCACTATAATCAAGGAAAAATATATAGTGCGGACTAATCAGACTGTCTTGATTGATTACTGATGAGTGAAGTACCAGTTATTATTAGATTTTCCTCTGGTAATTCTTATGAATGTTGCAACACCCACTTCGAGCCGTCTTTTGGGGGATTACAGCTTATTACAACTTTCCAGATATTACTATTTGCTGTATTTACCCGACAAACTTGGTGAAGACACCATTTGGTCGAAACCGGTCCATCAAAATAAAATTTGTCAAGAGAAAGCGTACATGCATACCTACACCACAATCAACCTCTACCAACACTTACTCATTCAGGAAAAGTTCACTCGTGAATCATGAAATTACCCATCAACACAACAAAACAACTATAATCACAAAAAGCTCAATTCTTTACTGTGCTTTTTATGATTCAATATAAACACCCACAATCATAGACACACTTTAACACTTCACCACGCGCCTTTCCAACGCCTCAAACTACAAAAATCGACCCTCCACTCCAAAAAACGACGCAAAGAACGTTTAATTTAATAAGCACTTGCTCGTACAATTTTATAGTCAGGAAGCGTTATTATACGCTGTTTCACTTCATTAACTCCCAATAAATCAATCGCCTTATGTCATAATACCATATTTCAGATACCAATGGGTAGCCGGAAACGCTGGCACTCACTTCTGGCATGCGCATACCGGTTTACAAAAAATGGACGGTCTGTACGGCAGCATTGCCATCCGACAGGCGCCTTCCAGGGACCCCAACAGTAACCTCTACGATTTTGATTTGACCACACACGTCATGCTTTTGAGCGACTGGATGCACGAAGATGCCGTTGAGAGATTCCCTGGAAGACTGGCTGTTAACACCGGACAAGATCCCGAAAGCTTGCTGATCAATGGAAAAGGACAATTCAGAGATCCCAATACTGGATTCCAGACGAACACTCCTCTGGAAGTTTTCACGATCACACCTGGAAAGAGATACAGGTTCAGGATGATCAACTCTTTTGCTTCGGTGTGTCCAGCGCAACTTACGATTCAAGGGCACGATTTGATTTTGATTGCCACTGACGGAGAACCTGTACACCCTGTGCAAGTCAACACCATCATATCGTTTTCAGGTGGGTACTAAAGTTCAACGATGAACATCTTGATTTAGAGTTAGCTTTCGCAGTATAGTTCAAGCCAACTCTGAGTAAAAACGTTTTCGACACGTAAATATTTCGAGCTCAAAACGTCCAACTTTCGTAAAAACTCGATTTTTCAGTTGACCTCTCGTCACGCGCGCGTATACATCTGAAAGTGAATGTCTAATTAACCGAAAGTGCAAATGCATGTTGGGTGGGAGGTCTGAAAAATGTCTCAGCCGTCAATGTACCTATTTGCTCAACGGTGGTCATAATAAGCAATTAGAATGCGGTCGCAACGTAAATATGCTTCACAAATTACACAGATCCATGAATATTAATAAGAACCAGGAGGTTGTTGTCACGTTCTCTTTCGGCTAGCTAATTTCAAATAAATTTAAAAGACATTCTTACACAAGACGCGCTTTAAAAATTAACCAGGTCATTCGTCATTTCGAGCGCATTCGTTGCACAGTAATTTTTTCGATCGATTAAGTAAACACGTGAAAAATTTAGCACTGACACTGGAATTTCAGGTGAAAGATACGATTTCGTCATCAATGCTAATCAAGCGCCAGGGGCGTACTGGATTCAGCTTAGAGGGTTGGGAGAGTGTGGTATTAGAAGAGTTCAGCAGTTGGCTATCTTGAGGTATGCTAGAGGACCGTACCAGCCTTCCACGGCTGCCCCTACCTACGACTTTGGTATTCCTCAGGGTGTGGTAAGTACGAATTGTAAATAATACAGAACGCGATAGTATTTGAAACACCGATGCTACTGTACATATCGACATGTAAAGATCTGGGGCTTGTCGAGTAGAGTTTTGATAGAACGGTGCTGGTAGAGTAGAAAAACAAATGTACAATAAAATTGTCGAGTATATGTAGTATAAACACTTGGGGGTGTATGTAATGTACAGTGTAAATAGATATAAAAGCGACCTCCCCACAGGTTTTAAATCCACTGGATGCTCGATGCAACGAACCAAGAGACGACGCCATCTGCGTGAGTCAGTTGAAATTTGCTCTTTCCATTGACAAGGGAATTTTAAGAGAGAAACCCGACGTTAAAATTTTCTTACCATTCAGGTTTGCTCTGTACACCCCTGAACAACTGTTCCAACCGCACCAATACACAGCTCACTTAGGTAAGTCGGATTAAAGGAATCAACAATGTTTGCTAATTTATTGATGTCTAGTTGCTCCAAATGGAGACCACGTGCGAAGTTTGATCGACGGAATTTCGTACAGAACTCCTACCTCTCCTCCGCTTTCGCAAATTGACGATATCGACGATCAAGAGTTCTGCAACGGCGATAATTTACCTCCAGGTGGTTGTGGAACGCAAGGATGCACCTGCACCCACAAAGTCGACATTCCGCTCAATGCCATCGTAGAAGTCGTGCTTGTAGATGAAGGTAAGACCTACATATAATATTAAAGCCCTTGCTATTCAGCCAAATATACATCGATATCACACAATATATCGAATTTTTCCTTTTCAGTACAACAACCCAATCTCAGTCACCCCTTCCACTTGCACGGCTACGCCTTCAACGTAATCGGTATCGGTAGATCCCCCGACCGAAACGTGAAGAAAATCAACTTGAAGCACGCTCTAGATTTAGATAGGCAAGGTCTGCTGCACCGCCAATTCAATCTACCTCCAGCTAAAGACACGATCGCCGTGCCAAACAACGGATACGTTGTGTTGAGATTCCGCGCTAACAATCCCGGTTACTGGCTATTCCACTGTCACTTCTTGTTCCATATAGTGATAGGAATGAATTTAATCCTCCATGTTGGCACACATGCCGATCTGCCGCCCGTCCCACCCAATTTCCCGACGTGTGGTAACCACTTACCACCAATGTTAATTTAATAGGGTCTAATTCTAGGTTCAAGTTCGCAGTGTGGTCAGGTCGATAGACTTGAGCATATTTCGAGTGAACCGCAACTTAAGTTACCTTCACCAAATTTGTTTGTTTGTTTCGCTGTGAAAATTTATTTTCGATCTTGCCATCCCAAAAATTTCCCAAGCTAGTATTACTTGATGTAATTTATATTATTTATCTTTAAATGGTTTTTATTCGCCATAATTAATTTAGGTAAGTATAAGTAGTCTTGACCTCTTCAACTACTGTAGAAATTACAATAGGTGCTGTATATAATTGGCCAAGTGGCGACTGTAGACTTTATGTAAATACCACGTTTATAAATTGCAAATTTCTTTTTCCTTCTATTATGATACTGAGTTTTCGAATTTGCAGTTTAGAACGAGTCTACCTACTTGTAATCAGTATTTCAAAAAACCTATATATTTTTTTAAAAAAATTGGAAAATGACTTAAGTAGTGACTTAACCCAGATTCCTAAACTGAAAGTATTGTACAGATTTAAAGTTTCACACTAACACCAGTTATTTGAGATTGTACTAGTCTTCCACAGTCTTTAATAACTAAAGAGTTACTGTTATTTTTATAAAATATGTATTATAAAAACTTACAATAAAAAATGTTAATCAATGTGTATATTTGCTTGCTTCTTCGCACGTGTACAAATCCGCTTCCTCCTCAAGTGTACATACCCCCTGTATATACGTGTACATAGCTCTGTAAATACAAAAATGGTAGGTATCCAATTCACCCCACAGCAATAACCTTAGACGCTCCTTCTATTCAGGTCTTAAACCCCCTTGACGCCATCTGCAATAGACCACGAAAAGACGCCGTCTGCGTAAGCCAGTTACGAAACGCTAGGAAAGTCGACGAAGGAATTTTGGAAGAACGACCGGACGTTAAAATTTTCTTACCTTTCCGATTCTTGTTCTATAGACCTGAGCAGCTTTTCCGACCACACACTTACAATAAGTTCTTAGGTACTTAGTGAGACGATCATTACCAACCCTTAACCACAAATCACCGATTCTTTGTGACTAAGGGGTGGCTATGAGAATTCTCCGAACACACTATACTTCACCCCTTTCCAGCTGCTGTCGGTGGTGACCACGTCATCAGTTTAATAGACGAGATTTCATTTGAGTTCCCTCCGTCGCCTCCACTGTCACAAATCCACGATATTCCTCAAGAGCAGTTCTGTAACGGTGACAACAGGCCAGCAGAATGTGGAAACAACTGCATGTGTACTCACCAAGTTGATATTCCACTAAACGCAGTTGTTGAAGTAGTACTAGTCGACGAAGTACAGTCTCCTAACTTGAGTCATCCGTTCCATCTGCACGGATACGCCTTCAACGTTGTAGGAATTGGCAGATCGCCCGATCAAAACGTGAAGAAGATCAATCTGAAACACGCACTTGACTTGGACAGAAGAGGTTTGCTGCATAGACACTTTAACTTACCTCCGGCGAAAGATACGATCGCTGTACCAAATAACGGTTACGTTATATTTAGATTCAGGGCCGACAATCCAGGTGACTTGAAATTTTGTTGGGGTGTTTGTTTGATTGTTTTTTTTTAGGGTACTGGTTGTTCCACTGTCACTTCTTGTTCCATATACTTATCGGAATGAACTTAATCATCCATGTAGGTACACAAGCCGATCTGCCTCCAGTTCCACACAACTTCCCCAAGTGTGGGAACCATCTACCACCTATATCATTCCACTGACAGTGATATTAAGTGCTATCTAGTAAAAAAAACTTTATGAAATTAGTGGAAGTCTGTATGTGTGTTGTTTCTGTTGATATTTCCAGTTGTTAAAATTTTTCTTTTGTTGTATTTAGTGTTTTTTTTTTATTTATTATGTACAACGTTTTCTAAAGGTACCTACTAGTTTCATAATCGGTTACTCATGCCATGTTATCTACTTTGTGGAAATTTCTGAGATTTATTTTTGTACTAGTCGATTAGTACTCCTCTATTATATTATAGTTGTGAGATGTGTGTGTGCGTGTGTTAGATTTAATTAACATGAATTGTGAGATTATTGTACTTACTATAGTTAACAAATACTGTACAATGTGATGTAAGTTAATAAACTTTCATCGACCATTGGTGGTACTTGCTAAAATATAATTAATACATAAAAAAATTAAGAGAACAGACAATTTAGGAATGCTATTGACCATTAATTTGTTTATAATTACAATAAATATTTATTTGTTTGTTTATTCAACTTTTTGTGTTGCCGGACTTATTTAGTGAATAGTCACTTTGAGGAACCTTATTTATTTATTTGTTTATTTAATTATTGTGGGCAACGGAATAAAATCACCGGACAAATAAGTGTTAAGACAAAAAATTGGTCGAAAGGTATTTCAACAGAACAGACTGTTGAATTACAGTCTAACAAATCCTGGTTAAAATTCAAATTATAAAATTATCCTCTACAGGTTTCACATTCTTAAAAAAAAAACAGTTGCAGCCGTGAGAAGATTTCACATTCCTTAAAAAAAGACAGTTGGGGCTCTTAAAAAAACCAGTTGGGCTCACGAAAAGGTTTACATTCATAAAAAAAATATAGCTGAGACCCCCGAGAGGGTTTCATTCTTTAAAAAAATTACAGTTGGGATCCTCGAGACAGCTTCACCTGCTATACAAAAACACAGTTGGGGCCCCCGAGAAGGTTTCACCTTCATTAAACAAAGACAACATTCTTAAAAAAAGTTGGGCATGGTTTATATTCTTAAAAAATATAGTTCGGAACCCCGAGATTTCACATTTTTAAAAAAAGACAGTTGGGACCCTCGAGAAGGTTTCACCTGCTATAAAAAAAGACAGTGGGGGCCCCCGAGAAGGTCTCACTGTCTTTAAACAAAGACAATCGGGACCCCCGAAAAGATTTGTATTCTTAAAAATATACACTTATGACCCCGAGAAGGTTTCACATTCTTAAAAAAAAAACAGTTGGGACCCCTGAAAAAGTTCGACCTGCTATAAAAAAAAACACAGTTGGGGTTCCCGAAAAGGTTTCACCTTCTTTAAACAAAGACAATTGGGACCCCCGAGAAGGTATCACATTCTTAAAAAAAAGTTGGGTCCCCGAGGTTTACGTTCTTAAAAAAATATAGTTGGGACCCCCGAGAAGGTTGCACCTGCTATAAAAAAAAGACAGTTGGGGTCCTCGAGAAAGTTTCGCCTTTAAATAAAAACAATTCAGACCTCCGAGAAGGTATCACGTTGTTAAAAAAAAGTTGGGCCCCCGACAAGGTTTATATTCTTAAAAAATATGGTTGGGACCCTTGAGAAGGTTTCACATTCTTAAAAAACAGATACTTGGGACCCCCGAGAAGGTTTCACCTGGTATCAAAAAACCAGAGTTGGGGTCCTCGAGAAGGTTTCACCTTTTCTAAACAAAGACAACTGCGACCGCTGAGCAGGTTTACATTCTTAAAAAAATATTATTGGGACCTCCGAGAAGGTTTCACATTCTTAGAAAACAGACAGTTGGGACGCCCGAGAAGGTTTCACCTGCTATGAAAAAACACAGTTGGGATCCCCGAGAAGGTTTCATCTTCTTTAAACAAAGCTAGCTGAGAGCACCGAGAATGTATCACATTCTTAAAAAAAGTAGAAGCCCCCGAGAAGTTTTAGATTCTTAAAAAACATAGTTGGGACCCCCGAGAAGGTTTCAGATTCTTAAAAAAAGGTGGATTCCAAAGAAGGTTTACATTCTTAAAAAAATATAGTTGGGAGCCCCGAGAAGGTTTCACCTGCTATAAAAAAAAAAGACAGTTGGGGTCCCCGAGAAAGTTTCGCCTTTAAACCAAAACAATTCAGACCTCCGAGAAGATATCACACTGTTAAAAAAAGTTGGGCCCCCGACAAGGTTTATATTCTTAAAAAATATGGTTGGAACCCCTGAGAAGGTTTCACATTCTTAAAAAACAGTCATACTTGGGATCCCCGAGAAGGTTTCACCTGCTATCAAAAAACCACGGTTGAGGTCCTCGAGAAGGTTTCACCTTTTTTAATCAAAGGCGACTGGGACCACCAGAACGGTTTACATTCTTAAAAAAATATAATTGGGACCCCCGAGAAGGTTTATATTCTTAAAAATATATACTTATGACCCCGAGAAGGTTTCACATTCCAAGAAAACAGACAGTTGGGATGTTTTTCGAGAAGGTTTCACCTGCTATGAAAAAACACAGTTGGGGTCCCCGAGAAGGTTTCGCCTTCTTTAAACAAAGCCAACTGAGAACCCTGAGAATGTATCACATTCTTAAAAAAAAGTTAGGCCCCCGAGACGGTTTAGATTCTTAAAAAACATAGTTGGGACTCCTGAGAAGGTTTCAGATTCTTAAAAGAAAACAATCAGAACCCCCGAGAAGTTTTCATCTGCTATAAAAAGACAGTTGGGGTCCCCTAGAATGGTTCACCTTCTTGAAACCAAGACAGTTGGGACCCCCAAGAAGGTTTCATTTGCTGTAAAAACAGTTGGGATCCCCGAGAAGGTTTCACCTTCTTTAAACAAAGACAATTGGGACCCCCGAGAAGGTATCACATTCTTAAAAAAAGTTGTCCCGCCCGCCCGAGGTTTATTATATTCTTAAAAAAATATAGTTGGGACCCCCGAGAAGGTCTCACCTACTATAAAAAAACACAGTTGGGGTCCAACGAGAAGGTTTCACCTTCTTTAAACAAAAACAACTGGAACCCCCTAGAATCTATCACATCCTTAAAAAAAATTTGGACCTCCGAGTATGTTTAGATTCATAAAAAATAGAGATGGGACCCCCGAGAAGATTTAGCATTCTTAACAAAAAGACAGTTAGAAGCCCGAAGAAGGGTTCACCTGCTATCAAAAAAAAATGTTGGGGCCTCCGAGGTTTCACCTTCTTTAAACAAAGACAACTGGGACCCCCGAGAAGATATCACATTCTTGAAAAAAAGTTGGGCCTCCGAGAAGGATTATATTCTTAAAAAAGATAATTGGAACCCCCGAAGTTTCACTTTCTACAAATAAAAAAGAGAGTTGGGATCCTCGCGAAGGTTTCACCTTCTTTAAACAAAAACAACTGGAACCCCCGAGAAGGTATCACATTCTTAAAAAAATTCGGGCCCCCAGAAGGTTTCACCTGCTATGAAAAAACACAGTTGGGATCCCCGAGAACCTTTCACCTTCTTTAAACAAAAACAGCTGAGACCCCTGAGAATGTAACGTTCTTAAAAAAAATTACGCCTCCGAGAAGGGTTACATTATCAAAAAAAGAAAATTGGAACAGGTCAGACCCCCGAAGTTTCACCTTCTAAAAAAGACAGTTGGGTCCCCCGAGAAGGTTGCACCTTCTTTAAACAAAGACAACTGGGACTCCTAAGAAGGTATCACATTCTTAATCACCCAGCATCACCCAGCATTAGATATTTTTATTCAAACTAACTCAGTGCTGCCTCAGTTCTTCAGAGTGATCTTGATGCAGTAACTTGCTGGTGTTCGACAAACGCGTTGAAATTAAATAATTCCAAATGCCATGTTATGTCTTTTAGTAATAAGTTAAAGACTATGATTTATCCGTATCGTATTGGTAATACTCAATTAAAAAAAGTATCTAACATTAAGG